TCTATTCTACTTAGCGGATTTTAATCGTTATTTTTATAAATGAATAAGTATTATCCTAACTTAATTTCAATAATTAATTAGTATTGGTTCGCTTCATAAATAATTATATATGATTAAGACATCGGAATGCAATTAAGATAAATGATAATAATAATTGAAAATTATAATATGGATGTAGCTAATTTTAGATTTCACAAACTTTTGGAGGTAATCTATGTAGGAATAAATGTATTTCACTAAAAAAATTTAAAGTTATTTGTTCTCGAAAGAGTTTTCTTAAAGTAAAAAAAAAAGAAGATTTATAATCTGTTGGTGTGATTTTATTATATTTCTATCAATTGCGAAATTACTATCTTTTGAGATTTTTTAAACTAAAGTTAAGTTTCTGCGTAATAAAGAAACAATTTGTCTAAATAATTGGAGAAGATTTAATTTAATGTAAATTAGAATATTATTTTAATAGAATTCTAATTAATGAATGTTGATTAAGAATCCATTTGAAAGATTCAGTTTAGATTAAGATGGAACATCAATGAACTAATAGCCAGTGACCACACAGCAATTAAGTTGAACAGATCTTAATAATAATATAGTTTTAGATAATATTAGATAATTTCCTGTAAATTCTAGCTAGCAAGTTGGGCTTTTAATATAATTAATCTTAGATTGTAATAAATTCTTACTATCGCATCTACACAATATTCACAAGGAAAATAACAATAAATACATAGGGTATCATCAACATTTAAAGTGTTTATAATACGTTGATATTTAATTATTACCAAAAAAATATGAAGAGTGAGTCCTACTCTTTTCAAAATATCATTTTAAGTCAACATGTTTGACAATCAGAATAAATAGCCAAATAAACAATTGAGTCTTATAAAAAAACATGCTTCACAATATATTAATTTGATACATCCTTAATATTCAACATTGAGATACATTAAAAATTGACTGTCTTTATTGCTCTCAAATGAATTAAGTACAATCAAAAGATTTTAGACTCTTGCAGATCATGAGTATGAGCAAGGAAGGCATTATGAATTAGAGAGGTAAATGTCAATATCCCAGAGACAAGTCTTACTGATATTTGAACTAGTCTTGCAAAAATTAATTGACACATAGCCAAATCGATTGTTTCTTAATAAAAATTATGTTTTGCTTGGATATTTGGTTTCTTCAATTTTGTATTCGATGTACATAACACAATCTACAACTAAAAATTTGTATTATAATTAGAGCTAAGAATTTATTTCAGATTTTATAAAATTATAAATAAATGTGAAGACTAAAAAAGGCAATAAAAGGTTTCGTCATCATAATTTCAAAAGGCGATCTATTTCTTTTTATTTTTATTGAAAAAAATTTAATCAAATTATGTTGAGTATTTAATTTTACTATTAATATAATAGTAAAATTAAAAGAAGATTAGCAAGATCTTTTGCTATCTTAGATCTTACATATTAAATTACGAGGCCTATGTTTATGAATTTATAACTCATTGTTTAACATAAGATTACTAAAGAAATATTATGAATTTCTAAACTATTTGGATTAAGCGATCTCATCAATTAGCAAGGAACTTATTCTTTAAAATGCAAAGCTATTTCTTTTAGAGATTTTACGGGTACTGTTTATAGTGTATCAATTACAATTATATAAATACAAGATTCATAAAAATATAAAGAATCTTTAATTTATGATGAAAAATCGTTAAAGTTACAACAGAATGATCAATCGACTCAAAATTAAATAGGTATTTATTGAATTTAAAATAGATTTTTGCAAATATAAAATAAAGAAATGATTATTCAATTGTAATTATAAATATATTTATTTTCATTTATTGTCTTGTTGGTTGATTTTATACTTTATATATAAATTTTCTTTTTAAATTGTAGTTTTATGTTTAAACTGAGTTAATTTGATTTTCCAATCCATAATTAGAATTTGATAAATCCTTAGAAAATGGAGTCAAGACAATTTTAAAAATTGAATTACATATTACTTAATAAATTTATAAACTTAATTAAGTATCATTATCTTTATCCTAAATATATTTTATGTTACGGAATGAATAATTAGAGCATCGCTAATGACAAACTGATAACACAAAATGAATTAAAAAGTGATAAATGTACAAGTGATCCCTTAAGTAGAAGAATAAAATAAAAGACCTAGGAGAACTTTCGCTTATATTTATGGAGATAATTTAGTAGTAACAGAAGAACTGATAAAAACTGAATTGGCTAGCTCATCTAAGTCTGACTGTTTCAAAAATATTAATTTGTAAAACAAAATTTGGTAATTGATTGTATTTATATCTGAAATTTAACCATATTCTCCAATGAATCGAAAATTATTTGAGAATGCGAAATCTAGCAAGAATAGGTTTCAATTGTTTAAGTTACCCTAAACTCTACGATTACAAAAGGCTGCTGCCAATAATAAAACTAAAATTAATAGATTAGTTTAAACCTACTTAATTACGTTTAGGTATATTGAATTAAAATGAGGGTTTAGTATTTCTTGAAGTAAACATACTGGAATTGAAATTACAAAAACGCCTAAAAGTCCAAAGAAAATATGAGTCTTACATTTGTAGTCAAAATATGTAAATCACTTAAAATTTGGAAAGTTGATCCTAGTTCAATAAAATTAATATGTCTTTTACATTTGCTAAAAATTAGAATGGGGCTATTGTATCAAGTTTAAAATAGTCAAATAATTAATTAATCTCCTATGCATAAATTTAGATTTAAATTATCATCTGGGAAAGAGGTAAATAAATAATAATGAAATAAATAGTTTGTTATTATGATTTATACACTAAAGGAATTTAGAATGGCTAACTTTTGATTATGAATTGCATCGACAAGATATTATCAAACCTAGATAATGGGTTTTAAACTAAGTTTATTAAAGAGAACGAATTAATTTGGATTGCTGGTAGTTAAAAATTGGATATACCTCTAGTAGTTTTGATTCTTTTTTCACCTCCATTTAAATAAGGTTTGAAATCAATACATTAGCTTAATATATTTTATATAAAAAAAGTATTTCAAATTCATTAAAGCATAATTAATTTTAATATAATTACTAAAAGTCACATAAAAGTACTAATTATCAGATTATATAATCATATTATTATCAAATTTTACACTATACATGCTTTTTGAATCATAATATTTAGGTAAATTGTTATAGTTCCAAACTTTGAAACAAATATTCTGATCATTATTGCAAATGTATGATAAAATGAGTTATTAGTTTACTAAATTTATTTATTAAATTTTGAAATTTACTTAAATAACTGAAATAGGGGTTAGAATGTTATTTTAACCTATTGAAACTATGATAACTTCATTGATATTATTGATAAATAGTAAAGAAGATAACAATTAAGTATTCATAACAATTTATATTGGATTAAATTGAATATTTTTGAAAAGCTTATTATTAATTATTAATTTAATGTAACAATATTTGTGTAATCTAAAGATAGTATTTAGATTTATTTAGATATAAAATTATAATATATTGATAAGCTACAAGAAATCTGAGAATACTTCCTAAAATGTAAAATTCGATTATTCAATACTATGTTGACTGTTATAGTAATATTTAAACAAGTAAATTATCGAATTTTCTTTTAACCCTGCTATTACTATCATAGGTTATGAACTATATGCAGTCTATAATTAATCTGCATTGATAGAAATTTATGATGAATTTTTAATAGAGCATTAATAGGGTGATTTTTAATTTGGTTGATAGCAATAATTATAATCAAGCGATGAACCATT